ATAGTGTATGCTGGTTTAATTATCTTTCATCAGTGAGCAACAAACTTTTTATCGTCCTAAATAAAGACGCTAAAATATTCGTGCTTGAGATGCAATGAAGAGAGGAGTGCATTTTGTGTGTTTCTTTACATGCATGCAAAAACCCTCTTTAAAATCCGACATTATTTCTTTTTATGGCACCGTGCGTTGATTGTACAGTGGTATGAGAGACGAAAATAAAGGATATTGTTTCTAGGAGCTGTGCATGCTTGCAAATAACAACTACAATCTCTACTCTTTGTGCTCTTTCCGTAACATATAYTTGAAGACAAACATGACCATCTTTGAAGTACGTCTATTAATTGTGTTTGACGTAGATGATCTAGTGTTCCGTGCAAGTCCTTTTGTCTACTATGTAGAGAAGAGACCGTTATAAGCGTTAAACTAGTCATAAATAGATTTCTGGACTTTTGACGTCACCACTTGATTTGCAATGCATTGTGGGATCAGTTTCCTGAGAAAACAAAAGAAATCCGCCATGTTTTTAGCCTGTGTACATCCGTTTCTCACCCCTCAAAAAATCGGGGAGAGAACGTCGTTCTACCATGTTTTGTCCGAAACATATCCTAAACTCAGCATGACGTAAAAGCTTCAGAGGTCTATTGTTCAGCGCAAAAACGCAGATTTAAGCTACCTCACGTTTTGCAACCCTGATTATTTGAATTGCTTATATTAATGTTCACTCTTAGCCTATATAAGCAAACAAAAAAGCCACACGAACAATATATCAAGCATAAAAAACTGCTTTAGTGTTCCGAATAACAATTCTATAATCACTATTATGATGATGATCAAATATATCGTGCGATAAATCGTTCGTGCATTTAGTGATATTTCATCTAATTAAAACAGAATACAAAATTACATCATGCAGTGCTTTTRCAGTACGTTGCTACATTGTCTAAGATGACTATAACAGTTTAACCTTTCTAATTCTGTTTCTAGAGAATTGTAACTTAGAGAATTGTAATTACAATTCTACCATTCCAACTATCTGCCAACTAAGGCCATAAGAAATCTCTTTGAATGCCTTCACTCGAATCACAATTTGTGAACTTCAATTCCTTCGTTCTTTTCAATAACTACTCGCACGTTATCGTCAGGGACCTGAAATGGGACACATTTTTGTTATTACAAACGTTAGCATCTAGACCATGTGCTATAATACTTGGGAAGCCGTCRCTCGTATTTGATGTAGTGAACCTCTCTGTTTATTTCTAATCATCGTCCGGTGTGAGCAGTCATTTTGCATTCCAAAGAAGATGACTTAAGTTGATGAAAGTGAACCGAGTGATGTAAAGCGCGTGGTATCGCAATGTTATATCGAAACTACCCGGCATGCATTCAATTCTTCAATGTTGAATGTATAGACGACTTTACARTAATCGTAGAAAACCAATCAGCATAAAACATATACAATCACGTGATTGATATTGTGTGACGTGATGAGCTCACCTCCCAATAGTCCTCATCACTATACAGTTGCTTTTCTTCTGGGGGCTCGAAAACGCTCAGCCTGACAATAAGACCTGTAAATAGCAAACAGTATCGTCACCACACATAAAGATAGGTAAGCGCCATAAGTAAGACGTTTTGTAAATAGTGACAGATGTAGGTGATGTGCGTAACAAGAGGATTTTGTGATAAGGAATTTCGCAAGGCTGGGAGCGAGGCCTTAATTTACGTAAAGAGAGATGTTCCTACAGAAACTTTATGCAWGTTTGTTAGGCAAAATGTTGACTAAAAAGGTGTGCGTATAAAAAAGAGAAACGAGAAGAAGAATTGTTCATAAAGGGAATTTAGTCGGTCAAGTCCGGTTGCGCTTAAAATGGTGGGTTTGCGTTAACGTAAAGAGATATCTATGTTGCGTACCAGTAATGGCACCACCAACCAAAGCAATTCCGAGAGTAACAAACACGGCGGCTACTTGATATCCGCCCATCTTTGTTGCAGTAAATCCATCACCAGCTGAGAGGTCTTTGTATCCAAGKTTCGTCAGTCTTGTGAATTCAGTTGTGTTAGCCTTTGGTGCCATGGCCCCCCAGATATTGTACAACCTGATGAAATATAAGCACGTAATAAAACTGAGTTTCTACGTGTGACTATTGGTCACTTTCATTCAAAAAGAACAGCTARGTAACATTAGCAAATACACTAGAGAAACCATGTTCTTTTTTGTCTAAAAATGAAGATGAAGGACAATTTTTCAATTGTTGTTCCAGTTGAATGATAAAATAAAAACTATTTGTTAGTAACTGCTTAGGTTTCGTGGACAAACTGTAAGCACTCAATCACGACTTTTCAAAACGGATAGTCTCCGCATATTAAACTTCGATGGTGTCTTCCAATAGTGTTTTCTTATAAATAGCACACCAATACATTTTTCAATCATCTTATACATCTTTGGACACTGCCTTTCTGCGACTTTTTCGTAGTGATTTTATATAGAAGGCCTTTGAGTTCTCGTTTCCTTACTCGTCACTAGTCCCCCGATATTGGCGGTCATGAACTACCGCCATTTTTGAAAGTCGTCTTTATGTCTTGACAATCGAATGACAAATAAACAGATCGAGAAAACTGTAGAGTAAGTCTGATTGATATTATAATTTATTAACATACCCGTCATATCCATAAGTTTCAGCTTTGGCAGTCGCAGCAGTGATTCCTCCAACAATGCCCCCAATAATTCCCGGCATGCCGTGTAAGTTATTGACGCCACAAGTGTCATGGATTTTCAGGTGTTTGTCCAAGAAAGGCTGTAAAAAAGGTTTATGAGTCTAATGAAAAAACGTTTTGTT